GGCGGCGGGGCGCCCCGAGGAAGGGCCCGGATCGCGCCGATATCACGGGCGCCCCGGGCTGCAGGCTCGGGCTTCGGGCCGATTCGGGGGCCCCCGGGCAGCGGGGAGACCCTGGCGGGCCTTTGAGGTGTCCCAGCCCCTCCGCCTTTCGTCCCGCATCGTGGGAGGAGTGCGAGTGCCCTGAGCAGCGTTTCTCAAAGTGGGGTCCGCGGGCGTACTCCCGACTCTATCTCAGACTTTCTGAACCGGACTCTGTGCTGTGGCCCGGGAATCTGAATTTACAGCAAGCGACTCTGATGGTTTTGATGCAGGGGGTCACAGAACCGCACTTTGGGGGCACTTCCCCAGAGGGCAGGGCATTTCCGACACGGCAGGGCGTCTAAGTGGGTGCATTTGAGGATGGGGCCTCGTGACTAGCCTTGAAATGGTGATGGATAGTTCTCTGCCATAGGAGAAACTGACTGAGGCAGGGGTATCTCTTAAATCCTTGCACTCAGGGTGCTGCTGTGTTCCTTTTGTCACAACAGAAGTCTTCAGATGGACAGATGCTTAGTGAATGAAGTGCCCGGGTCAGGGGCCTTAGGGATGAAACAGTGCTGAAGTAGGCAGTGTGGGGTGCAGCAGAAAACTCGGAGCTGGTCCTGCTGACCTGGATTGGGGCCGACTCCACCACTTAACCAGCGGGGCAGCCCTAGTGTGGACGCTGCTCACATCACTCGATTTCTTTCTCCAGTGTCCTCATCTGTCAATAGGGACAGTAATTCCTATCCAGTAGGGCTTTTGTGTGAATTAGGTAATGTCTGCCAAGTGTCTCCTGCAGTAACTGGCACCTAATAAGTATTGAGTAAATGGGAGTTATTAAGAGTGATGTAGATTCTGCCTTCCTAGGGCTTTTGGTCCCCCAAATTAGGGATTAAATAAATGAGATAAAACGTGCAGAGAGGTACAAAGTATATTTGGTGGACTGTGCACAGATTCTAACTGGGGGTGCTTGGGAAGGTCATGCAAGTAGTGAGATTTGCCTGTGGCTTTGAAGAAGAGACGGATTCCAGGGAGCTGGTAATTGGGGCAGCATGAGCCGGGTCCATCCCATGCTTCAGAGGTGGTTCTCTCACATGGATCATTGCCCGGTTGCTCCTAGGACTTCGAGGCAGCCAAAGAAGTCACATTGATAGGTGGTTTTTGAAAGCTGGACCATTGGTCCATAAGAGTTTCTGTCTGCTGACCATGTTTGACACACATTGTTTTCGTCAGACACCAGCGGTCTCCTTTTCCCAATTCATTGGAGATTGGCTAAATTGGAGCATCTACAAAATGATGCTTGTTGATCGCGTAGTAAAAGTGAGTTGCCATGAATATAGTTGAGCCTCTTGACAGCCATTTTACATTTGCTGTGAAATGTGCAGTTACATCAGGAGTACCTTTTTCATCACAGTATTGTTTTAGGTTCCATAGAAACACCACAGTCACCTGTGGTTCATCCATCTCCAGAGAGGATTAAGAAGTCAAATCCTTAAAACTTCTCTAAAGCTTCAGGCATTTTTGACTGGAGAAGCCAGATGATTTACAGGTGTTATCTGTTGCTCTTCTGGACCAGTCTGGCTACTGGTATACATAAAATTCTGATCTCAGTTGATAAATTATGTATTCCTTAGTTACCTAACCTAGGAACTACAATTACCATTGTTAATAATTTCTGCTGTTATGTCTCCTTAAATCTCCAGAGCCAATATCAGTCCCTCTGTATACACTTTATGGTAAAATTTATATCATTATAGATAACATTTATCATTTATCGAGTACTTACTCTGAGCCAGAGACTGTTCTATATGTTCTGTCAGCTTATCTTAGCTTTTTATATGTTCTGTCAGTTATTCCTCTGATTGTCCGTTGAGGTAGGCACCATCCCTGGCTCCATTTTATAGATGAGGAAACCGGCAGAGGCAGATAAGTATTTGCCCCTCCCAGTAAGTGGTAGAGCCTCATAGCCTAATCCCATGCTACATGCTGCCCCCCTCTGCAGTCTAGACAGCTCCCTCAGACTTACTATAGCTTTAAAAGATATGTGAATATCAAAGAACATAAGCAAACTTCACCTTTGCTTTATATGTGACAGACAATGCACTATTTTGTTTAATTCCTTATACAATCATTTCAATAGCTATGATTTGGTTGGTGATAGTTTATCATTTACAAATACTCTGAGCCAAAGTTTTCCAGCTTCCCAGCATATCTCAAACTTCTTTCATATTTTATAAAGTCCTTCAATATTGTCAGTGCTGAGGAATTTAAGTCACATTAAAATGTATTTATTATCTACTTAGTGTACTGTTGGAAATGTCAGCGGTGACTGTTCTTTGTTTTCACAGAGGTGGACCAGGACCACCCTTATTTGCACTTTCTGAAAGCGTTTGAAGGCAAAAATTAAGGTGTTGCTGGGAACAATGGAAGGTCACAAGGCAGAAGAAAAGGTGTTAGATATTCTTCGACTGAATGTGGGCGGCTGTATTTACACAGCCAGACGTGAGTCCTTGTGCCGCTTTAAAGACTCGATGCTGGCATCCATGTTCAGTGGTCGTTTTCCTCTAAAAACAGATGAATCGGGTAAATATCTAAAGTCCGTAAGCATGATCATAAATACTCATTACAATAGTCTAGTTTAAATTCCCTTTGGTTTTCATAATTGCAATAGAATGCATTCGACCAGTGTACTAATTATTGAGACCATTAGGGCTGAGTGGAGATTTATTAAATACATGGAGAAATGAAATACCAGTTTCCAGAATCTGTGATGCTGTCACTACAAGTTGACAAGACAACGAACGCGTGTAAAGGCCTACCATGACCTCATTATGGTGACAGATTATATTTGGAAAGTTGTTCCATCCATGCAACTCCATGGATAAAGGCATGGAGGCTTCTGTCTGTGTTCTTCAGGTGAACACACTGATTTCTCTGGAGAAAGCAGCCGCCCTCCTCGCTCCCAGGGCAGTCGGCAGCAGTGAGCTTTAGTGTGAAACTTGCCACCTCATCTAGCTGCGTAGCCTTGTGTGGGCTCACGTGCACACAGAAAATGTCAGTCACCTAGTGGCAGAGGACTAAGCACTGGTGTTCCAGAAGAAGCGGGGTAGGGATCTGTGCTGCTGTCCCTGCTTGGAGTGCTCCACTGTTGACTGAACCTACTACTGGTTGTAGAGAAACCTCAGCAAGGCCAGTGAGGCATTTTGCACCTCTTCGGTGTTCTGGGGCCTGGACAACCTACTCTGGCTTCTGTGTCAGAAGAGAGGGAGTGAGGAGTCTTGAGCATGAGGGGCTGTTAGTAACCCTGGGTCTTGAGAGAGTGCTTTGCCAGCTGAAGGGCATTTGAATGAATGGGAAACACCAATGGCTGGCGCCCAGGGCTTGATGGCTATGTGGGCAGGAAGGTTGTTGGTGGAAAGATGGTAAGCAGGGACTGCGTTTTTGCTCTGTCCCCAAGTTTTAGTTAATCGCTTCTAAGTTAATCAAGGGAGAAAAGGAATTATTGAGTAACCTCACACCAACTTGGCTAAATTGTCATAAAGGAGTACCAGCGTAGCATTAGGAGCTCTGGGTTTATATGTCAGTGACACTCCCAGTTGACTTCCAGCCAAACATGACGTATTAATGGGCATGCCATCATTAGGGAGGCACTCCATACATCTTTCCTGGCTGGGCAGAGCTGAGGTTAGGGGCCAGCTTACATTTCAGGGGCAGTCTGGGGTCTCCGTGGCTTTTGAAGGGCCACAGTGGGAATATGGTCATTGCATCCAAAATCCCAAATGGACCTCGGAACACATGTTCCTGTATGGTAGGTGAGAAAACAGGATCACCAAATTTGACTAAACCCATTTGAACAGTAGCTATTAACTTTCTTGTGAGAAAGAAACGTTTCTAATCGTAGAGGTCTTCAGTCTGATTTTAGTTTGACATGTTGAAATTTTATCTATGGTCATATAGTATCTATGCAATGATTTTTGAACTGAATGTTTTCTAGGGGCTTGTGTTATTGACCGTGATGGACATCTGTTTAAATACCTTTTGGATTATCTTCATGGAGAAGTTCACGTTCCCACAGATGAGCAAACCCGTGGTGCTCTGCAGGAAGAGGCTGATTACTTTGGCATCCCTTACCCATATAGCCTGTCTGACCACTTGGCCAATGAAATGGAGACATATTCTTTAAGGTCAAATATAGAACTTAAAAAGGTCTTGGCATTTTCTTAAGTTTTAAAAAATATATATGTATACATATATCTACATGCTAATACACAAAGCAGTGTGTGTTATTTTGCATAGCCTGTGTTGCCACATAAGCCAAACATGGGAAAGTTTTACTTTTTCTAACTTTTGAAGACACTTTTCTTAATTACTACTAATTTTTTTAAGGCCAAAATCCTATGTTCTAGGGAAGTGTATTACATTGCCACTCAGAGGTTTATGGAGTCTTTATCTCTCATTGAAGATTAATGTCTTTTGATGGCTTTTTAGATAGAAATATTCTGCTCTTTAGGTTCTTTGTAAATTAACAGCAATACTGTAGTATATAAGGGTATAGGGTTTTATTTTATTTACTGAAATGACTTTTTAAAAGAATGGTCGTGATAAAGAAATGACTGTATAAAATCTCCTACCTGATTTAGTGAGTGTAGGAGTTTGTTACTAAGTTAAAACATCGGTTTGATTAATTCACTTTGAGGTCAATAAATCTTTTTTTAAAGATGCTTCTCCTTTAAATCACATTTTAAAGATCTTTACATGACTTGGAAAGCTTCATTACCTGTTTTTGTCTTATCGATAAGTATTATATTTGCTTTTAGCACCTTTAGGGATCTAAAAGGAAAATATTTTTCCTAGATAATTAATAATAGTGAGAACTGATCTGAATTGATTTGATTTGGACATTGGCTTAGGAGAGCAAGCCGGTGGTATGGTTATTAGGAGTGTAGTGTGAAGAGAAAGTTGATTTGGTTCCAGATCCCCTTCAGGATTTTCATGGTTGTATGGGTTCTGCTACTGAAGTTATTTAGAAATTGAGTTGTCAGTTATTTGGTGCTGTTTGCCACATCTGCAGATTGGGGCTAAAACACCTGACTGGAAAGTTGGGGTGGGTTAACATTCATCTTCTGAAGTCTCAACTCTGTAGTCTTTTATTTCTGTTTTGTATGCAAAGAGGACACAGCATGTGCACATTCACCATGTCAACCAACACATATTTATCTCAGATGTCTTAGGTGCATAGAGCACTGCTCTAGGGACTGTGTGGGACACAAAGAAATACAACTGCAGTTAGACAGCAATATTAAATGAAAATGTAAAACATGTTAGTGTCCTATTTTCATTCACTTGAGTCAGTAAATATTACGCATCTCCTTTGTGTCAGGCACTGTTCCAGGCCCTCGGGATACTAACAAAAGTGCTGGTCCTCAGGGCGCTCACAGGAATGATGCTGTTTCTCCCAGGGGAGGCCCTTGCCACTCCCCTGGGCGAAGCCCTACTGCTCTGTGTCCCTTAGCACTTCACCGGCTCACCTGGTAGCACTTACACTGTGTCCTGATGGCTTGTCGACTGTCTGTCTTTTACCTTAACTATAAACTCAAGCAGGGCTGGGACGCTGTATCCAGGACCTTAGACACTGCTCACCACATTCGTACCTTCTTAATAGTCAAGTGGATGAATGAATAGGTAGATAAATGCCAAAGGAGTTCTTATAGTTTGCATTGAGTTCGTATATTCATATCTTTCAGTGGAAAAGAACAAGTTAATCTGGTTAATTCATGATTGGACGTGGAGTTAAAAATAAGCATCAACCATGAGCCTTAGTCAGTAGAAGGTGAAAAGAAGATTGAGTCAAATGGGAAATTGGGGGAAAATAAAGGGAAAAGAGAAAGGTCTTTTAGTCATACGAAGATTTTAAAATTAAAAATAATGTTGGTAGTGAGGCTAAAGGAGGAGGAAGGAAAATACAATTTCTATGTGGGAAGGGATTCTGTAGAGGAAAAGGTGTTGGGTTTTTGGGTGATGCCTTTTGTGATTTGCCCCACCCCCACCCCAAGTTCAACAAAAGCATGTTTGGTTTTTCAAGGCATAAAGACTAGGCCGAAATTTATAATCTTTTATTTCCCTTATGACCAACTGGTAATAGAGCAAATTCATTTTTACTTTACTCCAGAATTAAATTCAAATTTTGTATATTTTTTTGCTCCAGGCTATAACAGACTTCTGTGATTCATATGGTTTAGTTTGCAATAAGCCAACAGTTTGGGTTCTTCACTATCTTAACACATCTGGTGCAAGCTGTGAGAGTAGAATTATTGGTGTATATTCCACAAAAACTGATGGAACAGATGCTATTGATAAGCAGCTGGGAGGAAGAATTCACAGTAAAAGCATTTTTAAAAGGTATGTCCATATTTAAATATGAAAAGGAACAAAATAAAGTCTTGGTGTCTTGTAAGAGGTGTTACTGAATGGAGTATGTGGTTGACTAGAGAAGATCATCAACACCCGGCAACAAGCAGCATGAGCCCTCATGGCTGGCGAGCCCGGCCCACTTCATGACGTATATGTAAGCTATAGGACATCCACGGTGGTCTAGTATATTGCCTCTCAACTGGGAGTGGGCATCAGAAGCCCCTGAGAGACTTTAGAAAAAAAGGAAAGAAAGAAAAGCAAAGCCACCTGCCTGGCTGTCTCCTCTGGACCATCGTCCAGGAGCAGAAGCATTGCTCAGAAGTCAGCAGGCCTGCCAGGTGACCCAGGACTGGCCTGTGCCTTGGTGTCCTGTTCTGAGAAATGATGAAGAACTTCCCTGGTCCCTCCCAGCCTTAAAATTCTATGACTCGAACATGTCAAATTCTTAACGGTTATTCTCTTAATACTTTTTCTGTAAATTTACTTAACATTGGTCAATTCACTTAGCAGTCCTTTTGTTTTTTTAATTCTCTGGATGGTTGGATTGGGTCACATATTAGTGACCAATGAATGACCACATGAACTTGCTTATTAGGTGATTAAATATGTCATCGTTTTCTGAATTCTTTACAGGATGTTTATATAAGATATGGGAGTGCCTGGCATAATGCTATGAAAGTTTTAGTCAAAGGTGGATCTTTTAAAATTTTCCTGGGGTTAGGTAATTTTTTTAAAAAACTTATTTTTAAAAATTTGTTGATTTGTCTGCAGTCTGTATTGTGGAATTAATAAGTACTTCACCACAGTAAAAAGAGATCAGATGTAGGTCAGCATGAGTATAGTATATTATACTCATAGTATATGATACATAGTATATTATCTATATGCTTAAGGAAGGGTCACAGAAGAACAACTATTCAATACCAATATATTTTTCCCCTTAATTAACAAGCATTTGGTGAGTATCTATTAGTTATACGTGTGTGTGTGTGTGTGTGTGTGTGTGTGTGTGTACACATTCATACTTAGGTAGTATGTTTTCATTACCTTTTGCAATATTTCTAGAGAGGCGGGAAATAATGTTCAGTACATTTGGAGCTATTATTCAGTAGCTGAACTGAAGAAAATGATGGATGCCTTTGATGCCTGGGAAGGAAAAGGTATAGTACAATTCTTTTATTTCATGGCAGAAGGTAGACTTTTCCTTAATAAAACAAAGTAAGCACAAATGCTGCATTTCTCTTTTTTAGAAAGTATTTCTTTGTATAGGTCAAGTATTTCTTTGTGTATTTGCCACCTCATAATATCATTGATTGAGGCAGTTTACTTAAAAATCTTTAGACCTGGGGCACCTGGGTGGCTCAGTCATTAAGTGTCTGCCTTCAGCTCAGGTCATGATCCTGGGGTCCTGGGATCGAGCCCCACATCGGGCTCCCTGCTCGGCGGGAAGCCTGCTTCTCCCTCTTCCACTCCCCCTGCTTGTGTTCCCTCTCTCGCTGTGTCTCTCTCTCTGTCAAATAAATATATACAATCTTTTAAAAAAATGAGCAAAAGAGGGGTCCCTGAATGACTCAGTCAGTTGAGCAATCTACTTTTAATCTCGGTTCAGGTCCTGGTCTCAGGGTCATGAGATCTAGCCCCTCGTCAGGCTCCATGCTTAGCACAGAGTCTGCTTGGGACAGTCTCTCCCTTTCCCTCTGCCCCTTCCGCCTGCTCTCTCTCTCTCTAAAATAAATAAATAAATCTTAAAAAAAAAATCTTTAGATCCCTGAGTTGCTAGCTATTACTAATAGTTTATAATCCAGTAACCTAAAAAATAGTTTGTAATTTCAGCATCTGTTAGTTAAGCTTATTTAGTTCAATTAAACAGCAGTTTATTTGGCACCTACTGTGTGCCTAGCATTGTTCCTAGGAAGTATACCTTTAATTTAAGCATACAGTGTACAATCAAAAGAAAAAAGGAGGGGTGCCTGGCTGGCTCAGTTGGCAGAGTATGCAACTCCTCATCTCGGGGTTGTGAGTCAAGCCCCATGTTACGTATAGAGATTACTTAAAAGTAAAATCTTAAAAAAAGGAAAAATCTAAAAAAAGAGAGAAAATGAAAATAATGCCACAGATGTCTGAAGAACGCTTAGGAAACAATCATCTTTAAATGCACACTTTGAAGTTTGACCATTTTTACCAACTGCTCATATCATTTGATAATAATAATGCTGTTTAGGATCCAGTGTGATAAGTGGTTTACATTTAGTACCTCTTAGTCTTAAAACAATTCTGGATGCTGTTTATCACTTTACTGATGAGAAAACTGAGTCTCAGAGAGGGCATGCCACTTGTAAGGATCACAGAGGGTTAACTGTTCTATGCCTAAGTTTTTTTTTTTTTTTCTTAATTAACAAGTACGTATTGAGTGTCTCTTCCGTGCAAACCCTATAAGAAGTCCTAAAGTTGGGTCCACAGATAAATAAGACACATCTTGGTCCTCAAATGATCTTAAAAGCTGGTAGAGACCGACATTGCAAGTCACATGAGATTGAATAAAAGGAGAGGAGGAGGCTTTTAAAAACTCTCCCATCACCTGTTTCCCTTTCAGGCGAGGTGCTAGTACCAACCCTCTTCCTTTCCTTGACTTTGTCCCCCTCCCTTTTCCTCCTTTATTTTTTTTTCTAAATCAGACCCCTCAAACAGATAGAAAACAAGTGCTATTCTCTAAGTTTTTCATTTTAGATTTAATTGACTTTAAGACACTTAGGCTTAAGTTAAGGAACAAACCCCCCGGTGTTCTCTGTGTCTCCTGTTGTGGCTCTGGACTGGCAGACGACCCCGGAGGTTTTGTGGGGGGGCCCTGTCTGGGCTTCTTTCTCCACTGACCCAGGAAGCCGAAGTGGAGAGCTGGTATTACTGGCTCACAGAGTGGAAGACTGATTTTAACTTTTTTGAGAGCATGTAATGAAGTATCATTGGTATTTAACACCGTTCTGGAAGGCCTGTGCAAAGCCATCAGACGGGAAACAGAAAGAGAAAGAATTATTAGAAGGAAGAAGACAGTTATTATTTGGGGACAGTATGTCTTTTTAGAAAACCCAAAGGAATCAACTAAAGGTATTTTAAATGATGAGTTGAGTAGACCAAACTAGCTGGATACAATATGACTAAACAAAGACCAGCTTACTTATGATAGATTAGTTAGAACTTACAGGAGAAAATCCCATTCACAATAGCAATAAACAACAAAATCACTAGGACTGACCTATCAAGAAATGCTTTTGTGGAGTCTTTTGTGAAGAAAACTGCTAAAATATATTTATCCATCCATCAATTCATCCATCCATCTATAAAAAAAAAGAAGACAAAGATTATGGTGAGACATACCATGCTCCCGAATGGGAAAGCTATTCAGACAGATTTTATAATATTCATTATAAAGACGTCAGTTCTTCTCAGATTAAGTTACAGGTTTAATGCAATTCCTACCAAAATATCAGTGGAACTCTTTGGGAATCTTGAGGAAATGATTCCAAAATTCCTTTGAAAGAATAAGCCAGTGAAATAGGAACATTTTGGGAAGTAGCAGTCATTAGAGGAATGAGTCTATAACTGTGTGATAGTAAAAATACTATATAGAGATTTGTAATAAGAAGAACCATATGTTTCTGGTACAATAATAGATGCAGAGATCAGAAGCAAACCCCAGTGAACTTACAAGAATAAAAATACTATGTGATAAAGGAGTATTAAATATCAGTATAAAAAGATAGATGATTTAATAAGTAATTGAGAAATATACTTGGGAGAAAACAACTTTAGCCTCATGTCATTTATCAAAATAATCCCAGGTGAATTTATGGATGAAAAATGAAGCTATAATAAACTATAGTGAAACTTAAGCAAATAACTGATTTCTTAATAGGAAAATAAATCATAAAGACGAAAATGGATAAATTTGATTACATCATATTTAATATATTAACTTTAAAACAAAAATGCATAATAAAATTAAAAGGCTAATAAAAACTTAGATAAAAATATTATATTTAGAGACAAGAGTATCCCTAAAATAGAGATTTATTTAAGTTGATTAGAAAATCAGTTCAACCCCTATTGTAAATAAATGTGCAAGGTTCATGACCACAGAATTTCCAGGAAAGTAGATAAACATGTGGCAAGAGGTTCAAACTCATTATTTATTAATGAAATACATATTAAATGAGAATTTTTTCATACCAGATTAGTAAAGATCTCTCATGAATTCTTGGCAGGAGTAAAAGTTAATATTACTTTATTGGGAAATAATTTATCATTACATATCCATAACATCAAAATTGTTCATTTCCTTTGACCCGATAACTCTACTTCTAGGTATCTACCCTAAGGTCATAATCAAATGCAGACAAACATTTATGAACAGATTGTTCAATTAAGCATTATTCATAATAGAGAAAAAAATAAAGGCAATATAAATGTCTATAATAGAGAATTAAATACATATTGGTACATCTATGGGAAATAGTTGAGCATAGCTATTAAAATTATTTTGAATAATTTTTTACATAGATGAATGCCCATGATAAAATAAGCTGTCATGGAATGATCAAAAGCAGGAAACAAAATTAAATATAAAATGTTTTCAGGGGCGCCTGGGTGGCTCAGTTGGTTAAGCGACTGCCTTCGGCTCAGGTCATGATCCTGGAGTCCCTGGATCGAGTCCCGCATCGGGCTCCCTGCTC